AGCCTCCCAAAGGCGTGGGATTACAGGCTGAGCCACCAAGCCCGACTTTTTTTTTTTTTTGAATTGGAGTCTCACTCTGTCGCCCAGACTGGAGTGCAGTGGCATACTCCTGGTCACTGCAGCCTCGACCTGCTGGGCTCCGGCAATCCTTCCGCCTCAGCCTTCCAGAGGAGCTGCATTTTAAACAGGGTGATCAGGGAAGGCTCCATGGGGATGGTGTTGTGTGAGCCAATGCCTGAAGGAGAACCTTCCAGACGGAGACTGGGGGATGGGAGGGCGCGGGGTCTTGTGCATGAAGGGTGGTCAGTGTGGCAGGGGGTGAAGGGGGGGGAAATGACAGGTGCTGGAGTGGGAACGGAGGGCCTCGAGGTACTGGGCACAACAGACCATTTCAGGAACTCTGGCTTTTTCTCTGAATGAGATGGCGCCATTGGAAGGTCTCTGATGGGGGACCCAGAGACAGAATGGGGTTGATAAGGCACAGGATGCTGGTTAGGAGGAGCTGGTGGAAACCCTGTAGGTAGCACTGATGGTCTAGGACAGCAAGGCAACTGTAGGGATGGGAGAAGGGGTAGCCTCTGGCACTTTGAAGACGGACCAATGGGATTTGCTGACATTTGGATGAGAAGCAGTGAGAAAAGCAGTCTTTTTTAGCTAGATATTTTCATGCCATCATCACCTTGAATTTGTGAGTCAAGTTATTCTAAATAATGTAGAATCAGGATTTGACCTTCTGTTTCCCAGATGACCTGAGGACGCTTGGGTTTTTTTGTTCAGGTGACCAGAGGGGCAGAACTGCCACTGCCTGAGCTGGCGCAAGTGTAGGGAGGCAGGTTTGGGATAGGATTGGAATCTGTTTTTGGATATAGGTCAGACCTGTCTTACTAAGCATCTGAAAGGAGACAGTTGGCAGATGTAGCTGGAGCTGGAAGTCCAGCGGAGAGGCCAGGCTGTTACACGAACGTTATTTCAAGTGAGGAGGCCGGGCTCGGTGGCTCAGCCTATAATCCTGTGCCTTTGGGAGGCTGTAGTGAGTGGATTGCCTGAGCCCGCAGGTTCGAGACCCGCCTGGGCAGCGAGACCTCATCTCTACAATAAATCAAAAAATCAGCCGGGCGTGGTAGTGCATGCCTGTAATTCCGGCTACGTGGA